GGGGCTGGGGGCAGGTGGGGGGTGGGGCCAGGTGGGACTGGCATGCAAAGCATCTCTGTGGAGGACCCAGCCACCACTTGCCTTAGGGCACAGTCCGGGTCTACTTTTGTCCTCGCATTGCAAATTTGCAGTGCTGGGAACATTTTCTCATTCCTGCATGTGCCTCTTGCACCATCTCAAAGGAGTTTGAGATGGTGCAAGAGGCACATGCGGGCTCATCTGGATGTGCCCACAGTGTCACTGGGGAAGATGGCTATTTAAAGTCAGAATTGAAAGGAGAATCTGGCATAATCCAAAGGCATCATATATCCCTAACCCCTATTAGAAACATGTGCCCTTAAATATTAGAGGGCAGCCATACTTAAGGCAACTGATATGAGAAGCTACTCTATTTACTCAACTTGAAGATAAGGGGTTTTTCCCATTCAATATGGAGTGGGGAGGGGGAGAAGCAAATTATGGATTCAGGTACTGGTTCAAGGTGAGTGGCTGCTGCGGCTCTGGCTCTGACCCTAATTTGGGGAAGACTGTGTGGTGCAGGGGATGGGAGAAAATGAGCGGGGAGACTGTGGAGAGATTATGCAGTGTTGGGGGAATACAGGGAGATTGTGCAGTGAGAGTGGGGGAGCATGGAGGGAGAGTATGCTGTGTGGAGGTGGGGGCAGGGGAGATTGCACAGTGTGAGGCCAGAAGGGAGTGCAGGGGAGATCATGCAACATCAGGGAAGCTGTTCTGGCTCCATCTCTGGCCCCAGGGCTGGAGCTGCCACCGCTGCTGCTGCCTCTCTGGGGCTAGGGTTGGGGCCACAGCCACCATGTGCTCCATGTCCCAGGCTGGAGCTGGAGCAAACACATATCATAAGTGGTGGCCTCAGGGGGACAAGTGGTTGGGGGAATATGCGGACAGATGGGAGTAGCAAGGGGCACGGGTTAGGCTGCCTGCCTACTCCCTTTCGCTTTCCCCACCAGTGTTGGTGGGGAACAAATTTAAGACCTCCCAATAATTAGACCCTATGCATGGAAATGTATAACAAATTTATATTGTTCTATGCATATAATCAAATTATTGGGGGGTTGTCTTAAATACAAAGCCATCTAGGATTCAGGTAAATTTATTCCAAAGGAATTTATAAGAAGAACCAATTGCAAAACAGCAACCAGAGCCTGAAGGGATCAATGATGGTTGGTGTGGGTGGAAATAAAGCAAGCAAGGTAGAAAAGCAAGAAGCTAAAGCAGCTCTTCTCAGATGACAATGGTGAGTTCATAGCAGAATTCAGGTCTCTCACTTCCTTCATAGAAGTAAAGTTGGATAAAATTAGAGCAGCAATAGCAGAAATTGGGGGAGACTGAGAAAAATTTGGATAAAAGCCTTCAAGCCAATATAGAACTCCAACACAAAATTAAACTGATAGAGAGAAAAAACAAAAAGAGCTCACAGAAACAACTGAAGATGTGACAAGAGTGAACAAAGAAACAACATAAAAATTCAAAATTCTTCCTGCAGGGGTAGACAGGTGACCTTACTAAATTCCTAAAAAAGCCCATCCTAAACTTTTAGAACTGGAGACAAACCCATTAATATTCACAGATAGAATGGATGGATCTCCTCATGCTCCCCCTCAACACAAATATGCCTATAGACATAATTTTAAGATAGTAATATTTTGAGGTAAAATAACAGATTAAGAGAAGATCAAGAGAAATCTGTCTGCAGTTAAATTTGGGGGGAGGGAGACAAAGTACAGATTTCCCAAAATAAATAATATTTTATTCTAAAGAAAAAACACAAGAACTGAAAGAGCTTACAACCTATCTCTGAGAAGCAAAAATAAAATACAGACTGGGCTTCCCCTTTAAGTTTGTTTGCACAGGAGATATGATGATGCATAAAGGGGAAGGCAGGAGGAGCTAAGAAACCTCAGCAGATTAAAACATCTAGGGACATTATCACACATTCTCTTGCAACAGTTGTAAATCATTGGACTGTTGTGAGGCATTAAAGTTAGAATGTCACAGATTCAGGGTGCAGACAGAAGTAGGGTTACCATAATTCCAGTATCAAAAAAGAGGACATCTGTGGTGGGGGGGGGAGAAAGAGAGGGGAGTATAGGATTGTGGGAGGGGCAGTGACAGGCCTGTGCCCTGCCTCTGCCCCTCACTCCTAAGCCCCTGTCCCCCAGCCCTGCCCATGCCCCTCACCCATGATCCTCAGCCCCCTGGCCTCCAGCCCTGCCCGTGCCCTGCACTCTGGACCTGTAGCTCCCTGCTCCCCCAGCCCTGCTGTGCACATGTTCTCTTTCTCTCTCTCTCTCCTGGGAGCAGCTTGCTGGGGCCTGTATGCAGAGCACATGACCCTTGACAGCCAATCATCTTTCCCTCTGCTCCCAGCCCCAAGCAGCCAAGCAAAAACCTGGACATTTGCTCACATTTTAAAAACCCGCCCAGACACGAGGACAGGGAGCCAAAAAAAGAGGACACGTCTAGGGAAACCTGGATGTGTGGTGACCCTAGACAGAAGTGCAGCTCCCTGCTGTAACTGAGAACACTTTGCAGGAAGTGTTCTGAGTTACAACTGATCCCCTGGAACAAACATAAGTTCACTATTGGTTCCCAGGGGAAGGGGAATCTAGTTGCTGGCTGCCAGCCTGTGCTGGTTTCTGCAAGCAACTGCCCCTCCTCTGTGGGAGGGCTGCAAAGTTTCAGAATGGAATGGGGTAAAGGGAACAGAGGGAGCTCCTTCTTGGGGTTTCCCAGCCAGCACTGGAGGGTGGGGTGGGTGAATTGGAGTGACTCCCCACCTTGGTAGGGGATCCAATACACCTGCCCCGTCCTCCAGCAGGGCTGATAAACCCCCAGCCCAAACTTTCTCTGCTCCCTTTCCCCCACCCCTGCCCCTTTCTGAAAACAGTGACAGGCCAGCCAGCAGTTCAGACAGAAGTTCCAGAAGACACCCTATTTAGTGACACTAATGCAGCGAGGGTTCAGATTTTCACCCAATCGGCCATTTTTGAAGCAGTCTGCAGCTTTGTGCTTGACTTTGGTCATGGCTATAGACTGCTTTTTGTGGGTGAAAATTGTCACTTCTGTCTGTGCCCTGTCATTTGTG